TTCCCTTCCTTCTCCTTCCCATCCAACTCAAAGGAAATTATGATTCAGACTGATTCCACAGTGAAATGCTTTCCACTTTGAAATGGTGCAAAAGGTTCCACACCACAATGTAAGATTTAAACTGAAACCTCATGATAATTTGAACTCCCAACCCCAGTATTATTTCTCTGGAGCCAGCACCCTCTCTGAGGCACTGAAAATCAGAAGGAACCCAGACAAGAAAAAGGAAATGAAGCAGTAGCTAAAAATGGTGTATGAGTAACTGTAATTTCAGAAAACCGCATCTGCTCTCCTAGTGAACACTGGAAAGAAATTTTTAATTTTTCATAGAAGTGTCCCCCGCTTAAATGACACTATGTGGTATAAAACTGCAGACCAACCACCACTGCTCCCAGAGTGCACTGTGTTGTCCAGCTGTACTGACATCCACCTCCCTTCATAAAAATCCAAGTGGAAACAAGGGCATCTCTCTCACCCCTGTTCTCTCTGACAACAAAGCAGTAATTTTACCTGAATCATTTGATGCAATGATTTTGCAAAATTCTTTCTTAATTCTTGTCTAATATCCAACAGATCGATTTCACTTCTTGAAACCATGACTCTGATCAGGGTATCATCATCAGTGCCAGCCCCCTGAAGAGAAAAGTTTAAATAATATTAAAATATGAGTTTGTTCTGGACAGATGCTGAAGCAAAACATCAAATACTAACAACCAGAGTGCAACATGAAAGCACCAAGTGCAACAAGTGGCGTCTCAGAACACTCCTGCACTACATTTCTACTCCGTAACAGAGTATTTGGGACAGTATCACAAGACATTCACACTGCAACGCAGAGAACAGACGACTGACCATGCAAGGTGCTCTAATCCCTGGGCTTCTATGAAGTGCCATATGGTCAGATCTCTTATTTCATGTTTCATCTCACAGGCTTCAATCGTGACTGCCCATATAAATTTAAAATGATCCAGTTCCAAGATTACACAGTAGCGTATCCGATCACCACGATCAGAATCACATGCAAATCAGCCTTTCAACGTGGTCTGAGACTGCAGAACTGCAGTCAGTCCTGAACGGTGCATATGAATCTCAGCAATGACTAATACAAAGCACGCAACGTCGTACAGCAAGACACAGGCAGAGCAACTCACTCCACAAATTATCCAGCTGTTTATTGTGAAGGCAAACTTCATAAACCTTCTCCAACCACGCAGACATGCTCCACGCTTTTCTTCACCTTTAGTGCTTTAAAGGCTGTAAGTTCCTGCGCTGGCACGCTGTGCCAGGCTAACGTCCTGACCCCTCCTGCTCAGACAAGTCAGACTCCACACAAGCTGAAGCAATGCAAATTTTCACATGCTGACCTGCTAATGCACCTCAAGGAAGGACTCGGCAGAGCCCCCACGATCATCTTCAGCCTAACGTCCAGGGTCTCTCAATCCTTCGACTGGGTGTAATATTCCTGGATTACATCTAAAAATGCCCTAAAGCTGCTCAAAAGTTATGCCATGAGTCCAGCGGTTTCACAGTAGGATTTGACATTAGAATCTGGTAAAAGTCAGGCTCTGCCCCATCTAATCATGAAAGCAAACTCAGCGCATTGTAGAACTTTGTCACGTCAAACTGTTTCATTAGAGGTACAAACCTTCTGCCAAAGTAATAAACCATGATCTTTCACCTGAAGTGCTTAATGATTTTTATTTATATTAAAAAAAAAAATTAGGGATCTCATCAGCAGACATTAATCAAGCCTCTTGTAACAAAAATGTAAAAGACTCTAAAACATACAGGAAAAGTTTTTCTATTGCATTCTTTAAAAAATCAAAATTTAAAAATAAATTAGAAAAAAGTAATCCTAAGCTCTCAGCATACTTGTATAATATTTTGTATTTTCCACCCAAACCTTATTTTACACTGATGTTTATAAAAGCAGTAAAGCAGCTTTTAAAAATTAAGCTATCATTTCATCTCTTTTCACTAATTCTCATGCTGACACCTCATCAAGACAACCATCTGGTAACAAACACACTTCGGTGCTTTCAGCAAGGGGAAAGGAGGAATTCTTCAGGGAAGCTGATGATTTGCCTGAAAGCAATATACTACTTGCCTCGGTTTTAATTAATATTAGCCACTGCGAGTTAAAAACAGTTTTCCCTGCGTATCTCTTCCCACCCAAGAGAAGGTGAAGCCAATAAAAACACAGCTGTGTCGCTGATGGGATTCCGCTGCATAATCTTTTGTAGCTATTTAAGCCTCTTTCCTTTTTTTCTGATGAGTTCCCTTTCCTTCTCCAAATGAGATGGATAATCATGAAAATGCGTTTCAAAGCTTCACCTTCAGTCTGCAAATACTCATCTCCAAACCAAAGAGCACTAAATCTGCACAATCTGCAATTTAGTTTTTGGTTGTCTTTACTTCCTCAATATATCCACTACCTAAAGACACTGTAGTCTTTATTTAGCTGATGGTGCCCAGTGGATCTAGCCAGACATTTTCCCACGGAACAAGACCAAGTCCAAAACCAGCTGATGAGACTGACGTTTCCTGTAAAAGATTTATGGCCTGAGAGACTTAAGATGAACTCAAAGTAAAGCTCATGAATTGATTGTATCCTCTCCCAGATGTGCATTCCCCAAAGCTTTTGCAGATGCTTAGTCATATAGTATCCTGTTGGCAATTGCAGTGAAAGAAGAAATGAAGAACAAGTGAAAGGGAGAGGAATTGTAGTTGGGGAGATGAAAAATGTCGTATGGAACATATGTACATACCTTCATGGAATAATACAGAGTCTCAGCAAAATAGGCAGGCACACTTCGGATGCATTTCACTGAAAACAGGCAAAGGATTAAATTACTGATTGTTATTTGATACAGAACAATCTTCCACCGTCAAGACAAGGTGTGTGTTAGTGGATCATTCTCTCCAGTGTGGGCAATTAAGTATACAGCTGCCAGCTACTCGTTCCTCTGCTACAGCTCTTTGGGTTTTAGGAGCAAGAATGCACCTTATATTTCTAATAGAAAAGAGACCTTGCTAGTCCAATTCTATTCCCAGTTACGAATCTGCTATGCCACTGTCCAAAATGAGATGCCAGGGGTACAAATGAAGGCAGAGTTTTATCTCACTTTCTGACAGAGGTGCACATGACCGAACAGAATGCAGTTCACCACCACCCACTTCCCCCCAACCCTGCCATCTATTAAAGGAAGAACAAAGCCCTATTCCCTAAATACAAAAATAGATCCCAGGTGATTAATTTTAAAAAGGAACCATGTTTCTATGCCACTTCCTATAACAACTGCCATTTAAGGAGGCCTGAGAACAAATGAAGAAGGTCAGTTCTAGATCTATTAAGACTTAATTACCAACTGCCAAAAGCAGCTTCTCCAAATCACCAGAGGTTTCACGGTCAATGGTCTCTTCAATTTGAAAGCCGGAAATCGTCATGTATTTGTCAAACACTGCAAAACAGAAAGTGTGCTTAGTCATGAGTCTATAGCCAGTGTTTCTCCCAGTACCCTCCTCAGCACAGGTTAATGCCATCTGCACCTCATTATCCACAGTTCAAACGCTATCATACACTCATTCTTCCCTCTGTCCTATTTTAAATGTCTCCTACTATACGTCATATTGCTGCACCTAGGGGAAAACAACCTCATGCACCAGCACACGGCCCAGATGGAAAGCAGCTTTGCAGAAAAGGAGCCTGGGGTCCTGGTGGACACCAGGTCGAACATGAGGCAGCAATGGGCCCTTGTGGCAAATGGTATCCTGGGCTGTGTTAGGAGGAGTATTGCCAGCAGGTCGAGGGAGGTGATCCTTTCCCCTCTGCTCAGCACTGATGAGGCCGGATCTGGAGTGCGGGGTTCAGTTCTGGGCTCCCCAGTGCAAAAGAGATATGGAGCAACTGCAGTGAGTCCAATGAAGGGCCACTAAGATGATTAAGGGACTGGAGCATCTCTCCTATGAGGAAAGGCTGAGAGAGCTGTGACTGTTCAGCCCGGAGAAGAGAAGGCTCAAGGGGGAATATTTCGTCAATGTGTTCAAATATGCGATGGAAGGGTGTAAAGATGACAGACCCAGGCGCTTTCCAGTGGTGCCCAGTGCCAGGACCAGAGGCAATGGGTACACGAGGTTGTCTCAACATCAGGAAACACTCCTTTCCTGTGTAGGTCACTGAGTACTGCATAGGTTGCCCAAGGAGGTGTTAAGAGTCCTTGGATATGCACTAGATCCATCTGGACGTGGTCCTGGGCAGACTGCTGTAGGTAGCCCTGCTCAAGCAGGGTTGGACAAGATGACCTCCAGAGGTCCCTTCCGACCTCAACCATTCTGTGATTCTGTGAACACATCCAGTGAAAGGGTGCAGGGAGAAGAAGCAAAGGGAAAGACGGGAAGTTTTAGGAAATTATAAGCATTCTTCCCAGGGTGCAGCTATCATTTAGCCTCAATCTAAGATCTTGTCTACACTGTGTTACTGCATCAAATTAACTTCATATGAACTGCCCTATTAGCAGTCTAGTCAAGTCTGTGTTTAGGAATATCCCTAAGACCTTGGTTTTCTATGAAATCTTATGTTTCTAAGTAAATGTTGGGTGCATCAAAACAACCTTTAGGATTACTTTAACGCAAATAATGGTAAAAAACTAAACAGTAAAATTACAAATGAAATTACCTTTGAAAATTCAAATGAATCCAAAGATTCAACAAGAAAAACAAAAAGATTGGAGAACCAAAGCAAAACTTACTGGTCATTATTTTCAATGGCCTAAACAGCTTGGTAAAACACATTTATGAATGGTAAGGAGCAGTGAAAAAAATTACTATCTCTTTATTAACAACTAGTAAAATATGAACCTATAAAAGGGTTGATCTTTTCAGGGCTGGATCTCCACCAGATTATGATGACTCATAACAGACTCTCAGCATCACTTTTACTGCCAGGACTCCTTTCAAAAGGGAAAAAAAAAAAAACACAAAACCACAAACAAAAACAAGCATCCAGAAAGAAATACTCCAGCTGTTCCTCAGATCTGTTGCACTGCACCTTCAAGCAGGAGATCACCACTGCTAGAGGGGAACTGAATTACAGAAAACAAAATTAAGTGTATTAAGTAGAGGGAAGAGGTGATTAAAGATTTCTGGGCTTGACAAATGCAATACGAGAAACAATTTTTCTACCAGCAGCTGGGTAACACCAAGACTTCAGGCAGAAGTTTTCAAGCATACATGAACTATACCACCTACCCCTCCTTAAATGGGAAACGCTTCGGGTTCCCAAGATAGTGATGAACTTTTCTTCATCTGTTCCCCATTTCAGCTCCCCAGCTCTAAACAAAACCTGTTGTAAATTCAAGAGATGAAAACAACAGCATTTGTTACGTGTCCACAAATCCTGTTGAAAAGGTCTATTTGTCTCACTCTAAGGAGCATTAAACTTACTAACAAGCTATAGCTGGAGGGAAAAAAAAAAAAAGAAAATTGCCAAGTACTGGACTGACTTTGGAAAGGAATAAAAGATAAACTCTGAGATCGACTGTGAAAGCATTTACATGAGTAATAGGCTTAAGGTCCTAAAACTGACTGTGCGCATAGTCCCTTTCATAAGCCTGAAGTTTTCCGAAACTGTGATAATGCAGGAGATAAAATCCATTCCCAATACTGCTTTTTCTGAGGTTTTTTTTCTTCCCCTTTTTCAAATCAGACTAGCAAAATTTCATTACATGATGACTCATATCAATGGGAGCACCATGCTAACTTGGCCCAGGAGGAAGTTTTTCAACAAGGAGGGGAAGATGGATTTAGAAGTGCTCAGAAACAGGATTTGTGGGCTGCTAAATTCATAGCCATATGAAACCTGATCAGTACCAGATTTTAATCTTTTTAGCACATTCTTTGGTCTTCAGGCAAGACTTTCTTCAATGCAAAAAACGACTGGCCCATTAGCAGTATTTAGGAAAATAAAGGACTTGAAAAGTTAGAATAAGCAACAGGAGGAGAAAAGTGCGAAAGAAAAAAAAAAATCAGAAAATGAAACGCTTCAGGCAAGACTTTCTTCAATGCAAAAAACAACTGGCCCACTAGCAGTATTTAGGAAAATAAAGGACTTCTGAAAGTTAGAATAAGCAACAGGAGAGGAAAAATGCGAAAGAAAAAAAAAAAAATTGGAAAATGAAACTAGTTCTTTTCCTAACACTCAGAAGCTTTTTTCCAAATCGTGTGCTGAACACCACGTAAGGAGAAAGACTTGTTCATATCATGGTATATAGCATTTTTTTTTCCCTCCTCAGGGAGCAGAGGACAAACAGGCTACCACCTATATTCAGGTAATCAAATATTTCTTAGAAAAATCCCGACAACAGATCTGCTGCACAGCAATGCTGTTGGCCATCTGTCTGTCCTACTGTAAAACCTCAATGGCATGTTATGAATTTCCTATTTATGTTTGTCTCACAATCCCACTCAAAACATGTTTGTCACTGCTGCGTGCCCTTTTCAGTACTAATGGTACAGAGTATAAAAGAGTGTGTGTGCGTGTGGAAGCTATTAGGGCATTGCAAGGATGTTTATTTCAAATAATATACGCTAAGCTCTTCAAACACACACCAGCACTCTCCATCCAGTAGGAAATATGAAGTCCCACCACAGCATTTAGAAATGCCAGGAATGCATTTCTTTAGAGATACTAGAAGTTGTGAATGGCGTTTTATGTGAGTTCTAAGTTTTTACCTGCCTTGCTGTTGTGCAACACCCAAACGTACGTCAAATGCATAACTTTTAAAAAAGTGATATTCACAAAACCTATTCCAAAAAGTTAATCTTTCCCCTTCAGGCACTCTCAGAAAAGTCTTGCAAGTTCACTGCATATTCATACTATCTCGTAGTGTGAACGCCCATTCCCCAACTGCTTTGAATTAATGTTTAGTAATCACAGACCAAAAAAAATTAAAAATCGCCACTGAGTAAAAAGGCTGCCCTCTAATGTATCAAATCCCCAATCCTTCCCAGAATAGAATATCATATTAATCAAGAGAAACATTGGGAAGTCAAAAATAGTCTTACGTTTGCACAGTCACATACCTCACTTGTGACCATCTGTACCTGGCAATAATAATTAGAAAATTCTCTGAATCTGTTCCAGCTATCTCTGATGTCGAATGTAAAGACATCAATGAAAAGTGACAGAACACTTCTCTGTTTGGGTCCCAGCTCAAGCCAAATGTACGTAACAAACCACAGAGACCATTTAGAAAGCCAGCAGTTTTTCTACATTTAGGTATCGTGCCTCCTAAAGTCAGATGCTCATTTAAAAATCAATTAAAGAGGCCAAAAGGAATTTATCTGCCTCCCAAGTCCTGTGGTTCATGGGTTTCTTCAATTACATAAGCCCAGCTAAAGGCAAAACTGACACAATTTCATGGAACAGTCTAATTTTGTGATTCAAATATTTGCCTCACTAATTATCAAGCTCTGGCTTCCACAGGATTAATTTTAATAGCAAGAGAACAATGCTTTCTGAATTCACATAACAAAGGATAGGCCTGTGCCAGTAAAATACATTTCATCAGTTTGTCTCTCCATCTTGCCCTGCTATCAGGAGAATCTTCTACTCATCTGGTATTCTGCTTTTCCTCCTTATCACCTTGAACAATTCACATATTTTCTTTCATCTCAACTGACAATTTACGAGAGGAAAATGTCTGGACAAGAGTTATCTGAACTAACCAAGAAGAAACATGCATTAAATGTTCTGCAATCAAATTGCTGAAATATCAACCACCACTACAACTAACAAAGTCAACAGCATCCAGCAAGAGATTCCATCAAGGATACCAATTTACTGCTGATATTCCTGTCTAGAGCACAGGTTTTGTGATTAGTGACGGCGTCATGGACAACACCCACAAAGGGCAATACCTGAGTCCCTAGAAACTCTCTGGAGATGATTCTTAACTGTCATCTGTTACAGTAAAGCAGAATATTTGGTTTTCTCTTTTTAGTATTTTACCCTCGAAGGAGGCATCCCTCCCCAAATAGCATTAACATTTCACTACAACACACTGAATTCAGAGAGAAGCTCAAGTCAGATACTAAGGAATGAACTGTTAACATCTGAGTTTTCCAGCAGTGGGCCTCTCAGCATCACAAAGCCTCAGCAATTAACTCCCTTTTCCAGTGATCTCATCACTGTTCCATTCAGGCACCTCAGTAAGTAATAAGCAAGACAAGACAGCTTTACGCTGAAACATGAAAGTGTCGAAAATCTTGATCCCAATGTTTCAGGTTTTGACACTTCTTTTGCCCAGAATGTATAAAAGCAGAGGAAAATGTATTCAGAAACACACACAGAGAACCTTAACAATTTCTCTTTCACACTGAATTGTAGCTGTATAGTCTCTTTGCAAGATAACTTGTAGAAATTTCCCAAAAAACAAGTCGTTCACCCACCTGAGCATCCTGCTCAACAAGACCCTCATCAACTCGGCCGTCAGGATCTCTATTCGCCTAAAGAGAATTTTTAAATGTTGTTAAACTGAAGAATCAAAAGTTGACTCAAAAACCAACTTATCTGTTACATTGAGCCTGTAAGAGTTACTGCGAGAAGTCAACCTCTAACGCATCATCTCAAAAAATCACCATATTGTTCCCTTCTGCTTGCATGTGTGTCTATGAAATAAACGTTCTCTTCTCCTATTCCCGTCAAAGTCCCACATAGCAGGCATTCTGCTACACCCATGAGCATCACAGAAGTATTTCAATTCAGTGACGTGGAAACGGCTCATGTAAGAGTTACTGCGAGAAGTCAACCTCTAATGCATCTTCTCCAAAAATCACCATATTTTTCCCTTCTGCTTGCATGTGTCTTTATGAAATAAATGTTCTCTTCTTCTATTCCCTTCAAAGTCTCACATAGCAGGCATTCTGCTACACCCAGGAGCATCACAGAAGTTTTTCAATTCAGTGATGTGGAAACGGCTCGTAACAGAGCTCAAGACTTGACCCTGCACGTCATGGAAAGTGACTCATTTTTTCAGAACCAATCCTGCCTATCACCAGGTCTATCTAGAACCCCAGCTTAGTAAGCAGAAAGTGACAAGTGTATATCAGACAAGAAAACAGAAGCAAAAACCGTACACACATGCCTGGACACAAAGAGATACTTACCTGCAGCAGGACCACCAGCAGTCTCTGGAAAAAGCCTGATGTTTCTCCTGTGATTTTATCCTCCAAATTGGCCTCATACTCTGCAAAAGAGCAATTCCCATTCACCACCTTACAGACTTCCTTACTATTTTGAGGAGAAAGCAAGGAAAAGCAAAAAGTTGATTTGACTCACAGCTTGTAGAATCATTTATCAGAAACAGCTTTAACAACTAAGACATATTCTGCTTTCACTGATGACCTAACACTATTGTAAAAGAGGTGAAAAGATGGCATCTCACACCTCATAACAGGAGTAGATTACTTAAAATATTTTGAAATACCAAGTGACATGCATAGATTCAGCTCTTTAAGAAACTAAAGTGCATACAGATCTGGAGTTATGCTAAAATACGGCAGTCTCACAACTGTACAACTGTGAGCCCAGAAAAGTCTAGTATTAATGAATTTTGCCCTTGGAGACTCAAAGTTTTGCCTCGAACTTTATTAAGACATGAGAATATCTTGTGTGGCAGGAATCTGCATAGAGGTAAAAGAAACGTGTTCAATTAAACACTGCCTTAAAAACAGCAACCCCACAATCACAGGATAAAAGCACGTACTCCTGTGGGCAACCAAAAAGCTGCACCTGCTTTAGCACAAGTGCATTTGAAGAGAACACTGAGCAAAAGGCAAAAAATCACTTCTGTTTGCCTATGTGATACCAGTTTTCTGGTTTCCAATTACTAAAAAAATCCCCTTTGGGCAACCAAAAAGCTGCACCTGCTTTAGCAGAAGTGCATTTGAATAGAACACTGAGCAAAAGGCAAAAAGTCACTTCTGTTTGCCATTTTTCTGGTTTCCAATTACTAAAAAATCCCCTCTCAGTCAAAGGGATGAAAATAATGGGTGAAAGAAAGAAATGCATTTTAATTAATTCTAACTATAAAGCACAAAACATCATATTCTGCACTCATAGTCCTGAAATAAAAGCTACTTTAGTTTAGAATTCAAACTCTAGTTTCTTTCCTTATGAAGTTTTGCAATACAGCAGAATGAAATCCCACTTATTGGGCACATCCATCAGTTCACAGACAGACCTTATTTGAAGGATGAGTTAAAAATCATATTAAGAGAACTGAATGGAGACCCTAGAACTTCATTTTATACAGAACTTTACCTTGCAGATAAACCTGTTTAATGTTCCGCACTTCTGCAGGCGTTCTGGAAGCAAGAATTTCAGTCAACACTTTCTCATTGGTTCCTGCTCCCTGCCGGGGTGCAAGTATAAATCAGTCGATGGAACAATGAAAGGAAAACCACAAATCCCTTTGACAATCAGAAGCAAGCATCAGCTTATACACTTGGACTAAATACAGAAAAATTATTTTCTTCTTTTTGGTATATCGTCGGGGTTTTAAAAAGAGTTTCTTTCAGTTCTGGCTTGATTGTTTTCAAAACCAGACCAACACTTACTAAAGGCTCACTGCTGCAGAATTCAGATGAGCCTTTCCATGTTCAAGCACACCCAGATATACCTGTTTTTCACTATTACAGTCAATGACAACAAGGTAGGTGAATGAATAGACCAACAGTTTCCATCACTTCATACACTGTCTTTCATCAACTAGTACACAGATAAACATGGAGCAACCCAGCAATGATCTTTACCTTTCCATAAATTGTGCTATGTTAAACCTACTGTCTCTTCCACTGCAAACAATCACATTTTACAACAGAATTGCTAACCCAGATAGCTTAGGCTGCTGCACTCTAATTACAGCAGGCACAACAGGCACTCTTCACTTTCACAAGGATACAATTTACAAAAGCTGAGCCAATATCTTGTTTCCACAAGCCTGAGTCTACTTTGCCTGTAAGAATAAGTCATTGCTCTTTAGCTTCCAAGGGAGTCATTTCACAAAAGCAAGACTGAAATACAACACTGTGTATTTTTTGCTTCAGCATGTTTTTTCCAACCTTTCCCGTAAAGAAAATCCGAGCACTAACTGCATACAAAGACACCTAACCAAAATACAAACTTGCCAGGTTACATGTAATCATTTTCAAAATATGGATTGTTTCAAGAACATGCCTACTCAACAAGTGAGGCAGGCACAGCTATATTAGTTCTAATCTAAGTAGCAGCAGTGAAAACCGATAGGACAATCTCCAGCACAGACTTAGTGCTCTTGGCTGAGTTATCTTGCGCTGAAGACTCTGCCATTGCCTCTTCTTTACTGTTGTTATCCACCTGAGCTGAACTGCAGCTAGTATCCACGTCTTTTCCTGTGCACGCCCGTCCTCTGAAATCCTACGATTTTGTGTTTAATATAACTTTTTTAAGTGACAAGAACAAAACCACTCTTGTTTCACTATCTCTATTTTCCTCCTACACCCACCTGTTCTGTCATTTCCCTGTTGGTCTTTGACTCCTAGGTCAACAAGAGGAGCTTGGGAATACATTTTTTCCTTTTAGTCAACAAGGCCTTTATCAGTTTCTTTGTCAGGTGCCACCTCCCCTTTCCCCACTGCATATAAAGACACTACAGAAAATTTCCAGGAATAAAGTTTCTGTTGTCTGAGATACTATTTGCTGGGTCATGGGTTCATGAGCACTAGTTTACACAGTTGACCAAAGCCTACATATTAACCAGCTGGTCATCAAGGATCTTGGGACTTGACGTGTAAATGCCATCGAACAAAGCACCAGCTGGCACTAGTCAAGTTCAATGTCCTCTATATTAATCAACAGGTTCTGTGAATAACCCAGGGACATCCAATTCCTGAATTTCCACAGGTTGATGATATTAGAGGGGTGTGATAGAGGGGAAACAAAAATTAAGAATAGGACCACATGGAAGAAAACACACTAGAATATCTACACACACAGACTGTAAATTGTTTGTTTACCAGGCCTTCACAGAAAGGCACTAAATGCATCCAGCTGAAGAGAAATACAAGTACACTAGCCCATCGATTTTGGAGTGGCACTGTATTCCATTAGGGGCAAATACTCTCTAGCTTAAATATTAGTCAAAAAGAGGCATACAAATAACAGTACACTTCAATGAAATGCCTTGAACTAATTTGCAGCCTATGCATACAGCTGTATAGCTATAAAACCTAGACTGCTCACAGCAGAAAAAGCTAGTGTTCACTGGACTTCAGCAACAAAAAGAATTTAAAAGCAACATGCACATCTACTTATTGTATTTAAATCAGAAGGAACAAGTCATATGCTACGTAGATTTTAATCTGCATCTACGGCGACACTGTTCTCTTAAGATTACATAGTTTCCCACGAAAATAATTTCACATAAAACATTATATGGACTAGATTTCTAACCTACTTCTAATGAGTTATTAGGATGAATAAGAAATCAGGCAAAACAATGACGTTAGCAATAATAGCAGGTGCTAGCATAACATTCCTAATTTAAAAAAATAAAGAAAAAAAAAAGGCTACTTCTATTAGCATTCCCCTTACTCATCAAAAGCTTATTGCTAAAAAAAAACACACAAAAAAACCCAACAAATATTTCATATAATGTATTAATTTCCTTCCTCACTCCTCTTACCTTGATGGCATGCTTCAGCGCATGAGCATCAAAAATATATGTTGGTCTCATTAAAGATACCATCAATGTTTCAAATTTGCCCGTAAGTTCTGATTTCAGGTCATCTACAAGATCCTAAGGCAGAATAAACAGTGCTGTAATGAACAAGGAGTAACCATTTCAAACGGATGCACGTGTGTCCTCAAGCTCCAACACTCTGGAGACACTCCAAAAAGTGTTAAGGGATGGGGCTCTTTTTGTTCTAATCGGTACCCAAACTGAAACAAATGCAGCCAAATAAGGCAGAAGAAAAGCATATATGGGCATTTGAAAACCTGAAACATCTTGTGACTTTATTTTTTTTAAATATAGAAATTCTTTAAACCCTAGCTGTTCACTGCACTTGCTATTTGAAACAAAGGTTATCCAGACAGAATATTAAAGAATCAAACAATGCTGGGGGAAAGAAACAAGCTGTCTTTGCTTTGAACTCACTTACAGCTTTATGTACCAATATATTCGGTTTTGTTCTCTCCTACGGTATTAGGCTGCTTTTTTTCTGTCACATTTTCTAGCTCTAGAAAATTCCTTTCCTGCTATCACCTTACACTCCAGACCTTGCGCCAAAATATTCTGTAACTCCTTCCACACTAAGAATTAAGTCACTACTAGAAGCATACTAACAGCAAACTACAGGAGCTTTTGCACAAAAACCCATCTAAGACATACTGGACTGAAATACAGAAAAAGAAAGTAACTTCTTTGTACTAACCTAAAAGGAATATTCTAATCTAGCCAGCAATTAAGGATACGGCAGGGTGGGGCAGAGGGGGAGATAGAAGCAAACCTAGATTTTCTTCAAAGAAACCTTTTACAGGAAGCATGGTGAATGTGCCTCACAGTTTTAAGTAATCATCGTGGGGCACATTCAGTTAATTCCTAGAGGTATTTTTTATTCTCACCCTGCCAAATAAGGTTTTAAAGGCAGACGCAATTTCCTGACGCTGAGCATTGTTTCTGCTGGTCAGGATCTTCAGAATGGTTTCTTCATCAGTCCCTGAAGTTATAAAGAACAAAGAGTTACAAACGCACTCGAAAAAACAAACAGCAGTGGCACAAACTCAAAAGGCGATGAAAGACGCTTTGAAAAGAACAGTCTACTGACAAACAGCAGAAGCATTTAAATAACAGATGTCACCATACCCCAAGCTGAGTTGCCAGGTTTGGTGTTCTGCTGTTGCAAAAACATGGCTGGAGGACCTACGTGATGGTGTTCTCCATCAGTGCTCCATTCCAGCCACTACTCCCAGCACCCCAGGCATCAGCTATAACATTTAGTCACAGTCTGTAACCTACAGAGAAGCCCCGCCTTTGTGCTCACCAAGGGATTTACTTTAGAATAAACAATCTGCTGACTCCCAACAACACCCAGTCCAGTAACCCCAAACATCCCGGAGTACAGAAGTGCAGAGCCATTATCGATTTTATATACGATAGCTGGCAAGGTAGCTCTCACAGTACAGCATCTTACCAGCCCTACTGAATTTTAAATAGGCTGAGGTGTATCACATCTGCCTTCTTCCCTTCCTTCTGCTTCCTCCTGCAAGCAGCTTCAAAGAAAGCAGCAAATTCGGATTTGCTCTCAGAGGGGAGTTTTGGGGCAGAAAGCTACAGCGTGAGTGTACAGACCACTTGTTAGTCTACATCCATGCTGTGTACTTTTATTCTTTGTTCACAGTAACTGTAATGTGCTTACGCACTTCCAGACGGAGGGGGCTGTTGCACATTTTCCAAGCACAGAGCTACTACTATCCTGTCATAACTCTCCACAGTTGTTGCCTGTAAATCCAGAGTCCAGCTTACTGTGCAGTACAACTCTGTGTGCAGAGAAGCCTGTGGAGTATCAATTTTTATTGGGGAATGTGCAAACCACCTTCTTTTTTCCTTTATGCTAACCTAAAACCAAACATCCCTCAGGGCAGCACAGTCAAAACGAGGACATGCCCAGACTCCTGCAGTCCTGGGGTTCATTCCATGGCGTGCAGAAGCACGCCCTACCCTCAGCTGCTAATAAAAAAAACAAGTTCAGAAAGGAGGGAGGGCCCTTTCCTTTTTGCAAAATAAATCATTCTTACCCATTCCTTTCATGGCCTTACGAAGAGCTTCTGCATCAGCTCTGGCATCAAAAGGAGAGAAGGCTGTCACGGTGCCTCGCGTGTACTAAAGGGGGGAAAAAAGGGTGGGGGGAAAGGGAAAAATCCATGAAATAGAAGATAGAATCTTTCAGTTCTCCATACAAGAGCTCAGACTAAATTTGAATCCACAATTCAAAAGATGATAGCATTTTTCTTGCAATTGTCTGACTAAATAGCAGTGTGTGGGTATTTAAACACAGTGCTCACCTAAAAGGTACTACTATGGTTTTACTCAGCAGTGCACCAGCTAAGTTCAGGTATATTTACATAATGCAGAATTGCAATTTACGACACTGGAGCCTGAATGCAGGAAAATGACTAAGAAATTATCATTTGTTAAAGTAATTTGGGAAATTAATTTCACAAATCACATATGCTAGAAAAGCTGCACAAAGATGCTTTGGAAAAATAGTTTCCTCTCCTCATGAAAAACCTATTGGAGCTCTCAACCAGTATCACACTGATGTTTTCCATCACATTGCAAATGAGACCTACTGAACTCTGCAATGGCTTTCCAATTTTCATCATGTTTCTTTCAGCATAAGCTACTTTTTATCAAGTGATTCAGCTACATTTCTCATAGTAGTTTAGAGCTAAAAAGAAGTAACAGTACAAACATAAGGATAAAAGATCAGTCCATCCAAACATGAAAACAATTCCACTAGGTTTCCATGGAACACGGCTCTTCAGGAACATGACTTTTCTCTTTGGGTCAAACCCAAAAGGATATTCATCACCCTTATGGAAAAGTCTTGCCTTTATTTAAACATGACAGTTCAAGAACCTGTAGGTGTATAGCACAGTAGTTAATTTATAAACCATGAAAGTTGAGCAATCGCCAAAAGGGGAAACAGCTGGGGTTTGGGAACAGGGAGGTTCTTCTAACAGCTGAAGAAGGGAAATTTATTCTAAGCATTGCTGTATGAAAGTACTACAGAGTACAGGCAGGGCATTTTTCCACTCTCAAGGAAGGGCATGAAAGGAAGCGCCAAGGCACCTACTGAGACTGGCACCAGACTATTTCAGAGGCAGCACAGCCATCCGGCCTCTACGATACAGCCTTTCCCTCCAGTTTGCAATTTCAGCCACACAGTGCTTTGGTTTCGAGTCAGTGTACTCATCCAAGACAGGTCAGCCAGAAGAGCACAGAGAGGAACGAGCTGGAGAGCACTAACCAGAAGCTGCCCTGAAGCACTGCTCCCTCTCAGGCCACCTGTGTGTCACTGCCTTCAGGGACTCCCCACCCCTCCCACTGCAGAGGCAGCAATGAGTCAGGTTTACCTCTGCCGTATTTCAGCAAATCAGAACACCAAGTATCATGGTGTTTAATAGCAACAACAAACTTCTTTCTGGTAGATGCTTTCCAATATCCAGCATACTTCAGAGGCATGACAATTCCCCTGAAGCATTCTGCTTTTCTCATTACAAGCAAGGTTTTAGGTAGTACTTCAAATTTAGGCACAGCAATACGTACTTATTTTCCTAGCTAATTCCAAAAGCTATCATAAAAACATCTCAAGGATTTAAGACTCAATTTTATAAATCAAATTTAATTTGGTAAAAGAGATAATGACTGAAAAGCCTCTGTTTTCCTCCCTCTCCCTTGTTACCACACCAGCAGCATGGGGTTATTTAGAATTGTATTTCCTGCTGGTTTGTTTCTTATCATCTTAACATAACTAGTATTACAGAACTACCACAATTCTCCTTTGCACGTGACTAACAGTCATTAGGTCTCAGAGGAAACAGCTATTGATCTTTAAGTTAAAGTTTTCCTTTGCTTATCTCATTATAAGCAAGTAAAATTCCCCTTCACAATTCCCAAGTCTTGTGACAACAGCCCAACATTCCTCTGTGGCTGTTTTAGACAGCGTAAGTGTGAATACTAAATGCTAGATTAAATCTATTTCTGCATCATCCTTCTCATTTTTGTTAACTAAGAAGGATCCTTCCATAACTCACTTTTCCAAAGCACAGAATAGAAAGCCTCAGCATATAACTAAGCTTGATTAACTGTTCCTGAAATTCTTCTGATGCAGCTATAGTCCGAAAGAGTCTTCTTGATGTCTGGGCACCATTTGCACTCCAGACATTCTCTTGTGACGCACAGCATTTATTGATTGTGGCAGGGAGCCAAAATCCATTCTCGATCAGTACTTGAGCTGCACCTAGCTTGCAAACCAGAAACGTTGCCGCAGCTCTGCCATACAGTGTAGTAAAAATCCACGTCACCTGGGTACCACAGATGGAAGCTATAATGGCAGAATCTCCAGCTACATCTGCTGCCCTTGATACTGGTGCCAACAGAGCACAACCACAGCCAAGGCTGTTAGTATCAGACAAGCTTGGATACAGCTTTGTGGGCCTGAGTCCAGCCTACAGTCTAATTGCCTTCAGAAGCCACGTGTGGGCAGATGTGACACTGACAGTAGCCGGCCCATCACTGGGAAAGTGTTGAGCCATCCCTAACTTTTGCATCAGAAACCTGCTCCCCTAGCTTCTTAGAGCACTGCAGTGTGGCCCAGAAATCACAGTACGTCAGGAAATACTCAGGCACATCATATCTAACAGCCACAAATCCATCTAAAACACCCCACACTGTTCCAAAAGTTCCCTTACTCATTATTCCAGTCCCCATTTCTCATTTGCAAATTCAACAGACAATGAAAGAAAGATGCTCTGCAGTGTTAACAAACTCAATCCATGGAGGGAAGAGCTGTCTCCTCCCTCCCAAACATGGCACCTTTTCGCCAGAGAAAGAGGGCAAGGACCTGACCTGAACCACCATCACTGCCTGAACCACTGAAGTCAACTTTCAGTCACAGAGAATCTGAAATAGGAGCTATGAGCCAGATGCTTCTAACAAAATAATAGATCCATACAAAAGAGTTTCTGACAAAAGCCAGACACTCATTTATCAGACAACTCAGCTATAGTTTCAGTATTAAATAGAGTTTAGACTTCATCGAAACAAACTGGTTCTTGCAGATGGATCACAGCATCCCAATTGCTATGCCACCCTGATCTAATATGAAAAATGGTGAATTGAAATACAATTATTTAATATTTATTTACAGACTTCCCAACTTTTTATAGAGGTAAATAAATGATCTTATTTTTAGTATCTCTAAGACTGTTCCTTGCCATTTATGCAAACAGATACACAATAACACTACAGCCTCCTAGGTCGTTTTTATTTTGGTCAGTAAGTTTCCCACCCAGTAGAATCCAAAGCACATCAACTGAAAGGAGAATACAAATAGTCTTTGATACAAATCCTTTCATAATCTGGAGTGATCCCTTACTAAATAGCAACACCCTACAACTTGGCAATAAACACAGAGAAGCACAACACACAAGATCTCAACAGAAAGAATATCACAAGAGTATAGCACCCAAAACCTACCCACATTCTTTTATTTCTACATTCCCCAATAATGACTGCTAAACAATCACATGCAGCGCAACCGCAATTTGTGATTATACACTAGAAATAAACAGCAGCTTCCATTTTCTCCAGACACCTACCAATGAGACTAACAAAGCTCTTAGATACACAAAATCAGCATGAAACAGAAAGGCAGAGGAAAAATAAAAAGAGAAAGAAAATAAAGACTTCAAAGCAAGAGATGATCTTGCTTTAGAATTTATGCCCCTCCAAATGAGGAAATTCACGTTCTCTCTTTGTTTTGCTTATTCTGCTCTAGCAAAAGTTTGCAGAAGGAAAAGAAGATACAATCTCATCAGGCGAGATGCTTCTAACCAGCATCTCAGAGCTACATTAACTTCTCCCAAGAGACAACTCTGGCTCCACAATTTGATGTCATGAGTCACATATCCTGGCAACAGCACTATCTGCAAGATCAACAACAGCCACTTAAACGAGGTTCCTTTTAATTCTTCCCAAGTACACAAAAAATTTCCCGCTCACAAGATCTGATGTTCAGCCACTGTTAAATACAAAGCATTCATTAACAGCAAACAAAAGACCATATTTGAACTGATTCAGACTTCTTCCTGGCTACCCCTTCCTCTCTACCCACTCACAGCAAGTTCTTACCCGTCAGATTTCCCACAGATGAAGAGTCACTCCCTTTCACGATGCTGCTCTGCAGCAACAAAAGTAAGGTCTCATCAATTTGCCACTGGAAAGCCCAGTGTCTAATGCAGAAAAGGTGGTACGTAGCTCTTTTAAAGCAGCCATCTGTTTTACAAGACGGAACACGAAAACTGTGGAGTGGTAAGAACGGAAAGGGAGAATGTTTTCCAGCACACAGTTTGACAAACAGAGAAGGTTACGCTATTTTCAGAAGACAGAAGAGAGATCAGAAGGCCACCTGCTAGAATAAATGAAAGACTGCCTTAAGATTTCTTACACAAGAGCAGCCATCTTGCAGATAAAGCATAACACAGTGTTCGCTGGTAAACCAAAAGCCTTTGTGGCCATTGAAGACCACACAGAGATCCCAGTTCAAACTATGCTTTAAAACGAGCATCACTTAAGAAACATAACTATTTCATGACGCCCTTACCAAAATTTCAAGAGCAGTAGGATGCAAATTACATGGTAAACAGATGAATACAGGTGCAGAGCTGATGTGAATGCACAACTATAAAGATAGTTCTACAAAACCCCTCTCTAAGTTTAGCAATGCTTCAGACAACTTAAATGGAAGGAGTAAGCTCTGGTCAGCAGACTATATTCACATCTGTCCCACTAAATTCAAACTCCTGACAAAAAGCGGAATTACACAACATCTGTGCTGAACTCTGACTCAGTACACCAT